GTGAAACACTGGAATGGGTTGCCCAGAGAGACAGTGGAGGGCCCATCCCTGGAAACATTCAAGACCAGGTTGGACAGGGCTCTGAGCAACCTGATCTAGTTAGGGGTGTCCCTGCTCGCTGCGGGGGGGTTGGACTAGATGACCTCTAGGGGTCCCTTCTGACCCAAAACTTTCTAGGATTCTATGATTCTATGATTCTTTTCTCTCTACGTTTTGTGGCCCTTTTCACCTCTCTGCCTTCTCGATTCCCATACCGTTTTCTTGCCTTTTTCACAGCTACTTTGTTGCTCCAGTGTTGCTTGTCTTCTTCCTTCCTTTTTGCAACCCCTTACACGTCTCTTCCGCCTGCCTGAACTCAGCCTGTCATTTGTATGTTCCAGGTAACCTACTCCAGTGGCAGTAAATGCTTCAGTTGTTCCTCTGCGGCAGAGAGGGACAGGTGGATGGAAAACCTACGCAGAACAGTGCAGCCGACTAAGGTAACAGAAACCGCGGAAATAAAATTACCAGGGGAATGGAGGTGGCATGATTGGATTTTAGTCCAGTGTACCAGTGTACCACAGATGCATCCTCAATTAATTTAGTCTGAGGAGACGTCCGCTCGCCAGTGTAGCAAAAGCTGCGGTGTGCTGTGCTAGCCAGTGTGGTAGGTGAAACCTTTGATGAATAAAGACTCGTCGGCGTGCTTCCTGGTCCCAGCGCCTGCTTCTGGTGTGTCAAACTGGGTGTCTGGTGCCGTGCACCTCGGAATGGTGCCACACAGCTTCATAGGTTTCATGTTTTACTGTGGGGGCACAGGTTGGAGGGGGAAAAATAACCAAAAGGAGTTTGAGCCAGAGTGAGAAGGGGGGGTCCAGTTATTGAAATAACTGGTGAGTCACCTCTGTAGCTGGCATACTGCCTGCGAGGGACAGGCTAACAGTGCTCTTGGTTACTCACAGGAGTAAACAGTGCGGCGTGCCGCACCAGTCTGGCGGCTTTTGAGGGGCTCCTGTGCAGAGCATTTGTTTTCTAAAGCATTTCAAGCAGGTTTTTGAGAAGCAAAATGTTCTAGTCCCCACCTTTGACATACAGCAGACAGCCCTTTTCCCCTATTTTAGACAATGTCCGATTTTCTAGAGATTCTGATTCTCTGAAGATCAGAGAACCTGATTCTGAATTCTCTGTCCTTGGACAGAGAACTTTTGTGTCTTGGACACAAAAGGCAGCCCTTTGCTGCTGCTGCCTTGGAAGACAAAATAGTCAAATACTCAAATTTTAGGGATTCTGAATCAAACATGAGTTCTTTCTTCTGCACAGGACAACTGCCGTCGAGCTGAAAATGTGCTCCGTCTCTGGATCATTGAGGCCAAGGAACTGGCCCCCAAGAAGAAATACTTCTGTGAGCTGTGCCTTGATGACACTCTCTTTGCCCGCACCACCAGCAAAACAAAAGCAGATAACATCTTCTGGGGAGAGCACTTTGAGTTCTACAGCCTCCCACCTCTTCACAGCATCACAGTTCACATCTACAAGGATGGGGAGAAGAAGAAGAAAAAGGACAAGAACAATTATGTAGGCCTGGTCAACATTCCCATGGCCAGTGTAACTGGTCGCCAGTTTGTGGAAAAATGGTACCCAGTCAGCACACCCACACCCAACAAAGGGAAAGCAGGGGGACCCTCCATTCGGATAAAGTCCCGTTACCAGACCATCACCGTCTTGCCCATGGAGCAATACAAAGAATTCGCAGAGTTTGTTACCAGCAACTACACTATGCTGTGCTCTGTGCTGGAGCCTGTGATCAGCGTCAGGAATAAGGAGGAGATGGCGTGTGCTTTGGTGCACATTCTGCAGAGCACCGGGAGAGCCAAGGTAAGAACAGGCGGCTCCTGTCAAAACGACTCCCTCTCACTGCTGATGGGTGATGTCTTTTCATCTAGAAAGTAGGAAGCCTGGGCTGGCATGACCGTAAGCAACAGCAGAAGGTGCCTGAATGGGAGAAGGCTGAGAAAAGGATCTCAAAAGCGTTTGAAAAGACTCGGACCATTGCATCTACCAGGAAGGCACGTAGATAGGCACGATACCAACGGTGGTTAAGAGCTGATATAAAGCTTAAAGATGCCGTGTATAAAGTTTAAGCAGGAGGACTCTATAGCTTCATGCTATTCTGAGAAGTTAGGGCCTGCACTTCAGTGTTCGGGAACCTTGTCTATATTTCTAAAATCACGATACAGGAGAAGAGATAAGTAAGCAAGAGATTAGTAAACCAGGGAATTATTTCTATAAATAAGTCTCTGATACAGCGAGCAGCAGGATGCTGGTGTTGATTCAGTGCTAAGTCAGCGAATCAATGCTAGCATTGATTGGGTCAGTGTTTGAACAGCCATTTGGAGAATCCATACGCGGTTAATGGTGATCCCGCCTGCCCCGAGGATGTCGTTAGGACTTCTGGATGCACACTGATGGTTCTCTGTGAGGCAGCAATTGGAGTGAGCCTCGGTTCCTTCGAGTAGATTGTGGGAGACTATCCCGTAGGTCTTGGGAAACGCTGAGAAGTATTAATGAGCATTGATTTATCTGGATGCTGCCTGCCAAGTGGGGGTGTGAGTCGGACCAAGCTGTAGCCAGCTTCTTCCAGTACTGCCAGCTGGAGCAAGTTAAGGGTGACCCAGCACAAGTTAGAGGGTTGGAGATGTGGAAGGATGGCCATAAGCAACGTCTGAGGGACAGTCTTATTTAACTGCTCCAAAAAGGTCCGTTTATGTTTGCATAAACATATGTCACTCTACTGTTCTGCCCTCGACATACATCTCGGAAAGGCTGGTGCTGTGCAGCAGCGTGGGATAGGTACTCATTCCTTTCCAAGCTGTTAGTCTGGTCGAGAGAAGCTGGTAGCTGGGATAGCTCCTGTAGTGTTGCGTTGAAATCCTGCTCGCAAGCAGGCTCTGGATTCCCACAGTGCTAGCTGCAGCAGGTAGGTGAATTAGCGTTATAACTTTGCCTTCCTAGTGCCTGAACGCTTGAACTTGTATTTACTGGAAGCGCTGAGCACCTTAGGCTGCCCTGACCTCAAGCTGCAGAGCGGGTACGTTTCCAGGTCACACTGTGTCGGTGCTGATGCAGCTGGATGTTCACAGTTCGTGCCAGGTGAAAAGAATTCTCTCAGATTTTGCTGAAAAGAAACAGCAATAATGGATTGAAAACAAAGAGTTCTGAATGTATTTTTGATCTACCTGTAACATATATAACTTGTTCCACATATTTTGCGCTTCTAGGCTAGCAGTGCATGATGGTTTATGTAGTTAATGGGGTTGTGAAACCTTACTCCATCGCTCTTTGAACTGTTTGGAGGGCGTTGCTGTTCGCAGCAGAGCCAATAAGTCACAGTTATCACTCAGCCCTGAACCACAGTGGGGATTGGTTTTGGTTTTTGGGGTTCTTTTTCTTTTTGAAACAGTTAAAAAAAATAAAGAGGAGAGGGGAATATGCTTCCTCTGGGGAACTTTACGGTGGCTGACGTTGGATCTTGCAAAATACTGAGTATTCCTTGTGAAATGCTGAGTGTCCTTGACTCGGGTAAAGCTATCACCTCAGGAAATAAGTATTTCTGTAGAATTAGAGCTTATATCAAGAGGTTATTCGCTATATCAAGACTTGCTGATTGTTCCTGCCTGGGCATTTGAATACAGCTCAAGTTAAGCCATAGAGATCCACAGCAAGTGTGTTAACGTTTTGCCCAAATCCTAAACCACTTTTGGTTTGTAGTTTAACTGATGTAAGCCATCCTTCTTCTTTAAATTTCACCAAGCTGTAAGAACTTGTGCCTAACTTCCATCTTGGGTTTTTAAATCCAAATTTTTATGTAATATTCAGTATTAAAAGATAAATATCAGTTTCTTTCAGCAGAGAAAGCCACTGACAGATAAACTGGTGAGGTTTTCTGTTCAGGTTCTACACTGAAACACAAACTTGGCTGTAAAGGTTTTCTTTTAGAGACTTTTGCCTATCCCTTTATAATTTTTAATCTGCATCATTTTATAAGTATTAATAAACCCAAGAGGAGCCCTGCCTATTTCCTTGGCCCATACTATGTGTAGCATCTGCACCCTTTGTCCCAAGCTGTGCAAATATTTCAGTGATCCTCTGGCTCCTCTGTTGATCCGGCCTTCTTGGCCTCTGCAGTTAGCCTGGCATGACCGAGTCTGCTTAAAATAACCTCTTGCCATTTGACCTTTTTCCTCAGGATTTCTTGACAGATTTGGTGATGTCTGAGGTAGATCGTTGCGGGGAGCACGATGTCTTGATCTTCAGGGAGAACACGCTTGCTACCAAAGCTATTGAGGAGTACCTGAAGTTGGTAGGGCAGAAGTATCTTCACGATGCGCTAGGTAAGAAAGCGCCCGTCTGTCAGCTGTGTGCGTTGTGAGGGCTGACCCTGCGCTGCCTGCAACGTGAGCGAAGCCTCGTGTGTCGGGGAACGGGGGATGGGAAGGGACTGCCTCAGTATGCAACCCAGGTGTCTAGCAGCCAGACAGCACAATGTATGCTTCTTTCTCTTGATGCCCTTCCTCCACACCAAGGAAGATGCTCTTTGGTGCCTGCAGGAGTAGCACCCAAGGAGAGACAAACTCGATTCGATATCGCCAAGTCCCTCTTAAAGTCTGTATTGGCACGCTGTGTTTCTTTGGGTAACCTTCGTTGGTGTCTCTAGTTGTGATGAAGACATAAAATCCTGCGGTTGGTTTGTGGGCATTGGTGATTGTTCCATCTGATATATGAACAGGCTTAAAAAAGGGGTTTTGACACAAAGTTTAACAGCGGTAATTGAGCCTGATACTTTGTGTCATGGTGTCAGGGGGTGAATCTGTTATCACGTGCAATACAGTTAGGTGGAGATTTCAGAAGGGCTTATGAATCTGAAGCATGTGTTTCACAAAACTCCTTTTATGCTGATGAAGCTCCTGTGCTCCCGTTAGGCTGAAGTGCCACCACCGAGGAGGGTAGATGTACTCAGGGCTATCTGGTTGACAACCAGAGTTCTCATCCACGAGTGCACATTGCTGGGGCATCTCCCAGCCGTCTCTTTGACTCGCTGTTGTAGTTAACAGCAGATGGTAGCTATGGCATTAACGAGCGTTAAGCGTGAGACGCCCACCCCAGCGCTTGGGTTGAATGCAAGTAGTACAAGAAAATTCATTTCCAGATGCTTCAGCTGTGACTGTTGGTAATGCTGGCACATTCCAGAGCGACCCTTGGACTTGCTCAGCCCTTACCTTTGCCACAGAGCAATGAATTCATAAACATTCGCATTAACCTTTCAAACTGGTACTGTGCCCCAATAAAAATCCTTCGACAACCGTGGCCAGAGGGAGTGAGGCTGCAGGGCTCCTGAGCAGCAGAGGGCAGGAGATCGAGATGCAGGCTGTCTAGGGAGCCTCCTGCCCATGTTTACCCAAAGCGCTCGTTATTCACCACCTCATTAAAACTGCCTGGCCAACCTGAGATGTCCTACTCCATTCCCCTGGCAGGTTTTTCATGTCCACAGTTACGTGCCAGGGTGGATTCTGATCATTGTGTTATTGTTCCTGCTCCACCAGAAGGTTCTGCTCCAGTCATAAGCCACTGCCTTGGGAATTACCGTCCACATTGCAGTAAAGAGGACCAAAAACGTGCGAGCTCTTTGCTTGACAAACGCAGAGCCTCGCTACAGCTAATTTACCAATTTCACGCAATCTTTGTGATCCACGATTGCACAGCGAGTCACCCTGTTGTTTGTTGGTTGAAGAAAGCTTTGGAAGTTGATACAAGAGGAACAAGATCAGGCCAAAGCCCAGTCCCACACCACATCCTGTTGCAAAAACAAGAAAAAAAGAAAAAGCAGCAGCTTGCTTTCCCAGCAGCCTTGCTTGTCCTCAGCAGTACCGGAGGCTGGCAAGTCAGCAAGGAGATGGTTAGCTAAATTAGTGCTCCAAGGGTCAGTATAGTCAGGTCTGTGATTATATGCATTTTGGCCATTCCTTAAGCGGAATGAGCCTGTTCTGGTAGTCTCATTCTCGGGGGTGGAACCACTGGGCACAAGTCACAGTCCTGGGCTCTTGCTCGGTATAGAGAAACGAGCAGCATATTGCTTTGTGCTCTGCTTTTCAGCAAACTGAACCATCAGCTGTGGGACCAGTGTATTACATTTGACTGCAAGCCCCATAATGTGTTGTAATTATATAAAAATATTTTAAAATTAATGACTTCTAATACATCATTTAGAGCATTGGTGCTGAGCGATAAGATTGTAAATCATAGACATGAGAGATGGAAAATCCCCCTAAGGTCATCCAGCTCGTCTGTAGCTGAGGGCAGGATTGCTCATGACAATATGCCCAGCTAATTCTGTGTCAAGTTTTAAATGTCGTTTTGCTCAGATGCCATGTTCTTTGGAAGGATTAACAACGTTACGCTTGGTGTTAGCTATTTAATACATCTGTAAGAGCATCTTAATATAGGATTAAAACAGCGTCTTGTGGACCACAAAGAGTAAGTTTCAAATGCGTTTAAGGGAAAAAAAAAATATCAAGTAAGCAACAGTTAAAACAGAATTGGCTCAACAGAAGTGATGCCGAGAGTTTTGCAAAGAAGTGATATAGATGCCCTCAGCAGAAATTTTTTGGCCCCCAACAAAAAAAAAGCTTAAGAAAATGTGCTGCCTGCTTTGCTTGCAAGAACACTGCTGACTTGAGACTCGGGGAGGGGTGCTGGGAGGTGTTTAAGGGATTTTATGACAACAAAAACAAAAATCAAACTCCTTTTGCACAAGCAAGCCTTGTGGTGTTAGCTCGGAGCCAGCAAGATCATCTGAGGAGATGAACTTAAAAGACATTGAATCATTACATGAATGAATAAAGAATTTTTTCCTAGTGAACAACAACAGTTTAAAAATCTTTTGGTGTGCTAGCGTAGATAGGAGGGAAACTGCTAAGTAGGTTGTTCATTCCAATATGTCAAACCAAGTAAAGTTCATCTGCTTTTGTAAGTGTCCGGTTTCTGTTGTGATGCCCTAAGAGAAGGGTGACAGAAGTGCAAAGGATTTTGAAAGATGCAGGCTATAAAAATGTAAGGTGTTGATAAAAGAAGCTGAGGAAATGAGCAGTATCTCAGGTCTTACTCAAGAGCAAGGTGACGCTTTTTAAAATGATAAAAGATGGTACATTTAGAAATAATAAAAATAAATAACATCGTCACGTGCATTTCCTGGGGAAATTATGAAGACAAATAGCCCAGCTTCATTTCGAAGACTGTGGATAATTTTATAGTTGCTAATGCAATCTGAAGGCAAAGTCAATTCCTGTTCTCTAGGCTGTAAGCGAGGTGTCTGCGGGGGTTGGCAGCAAAGCCCTGCGCTGTCACGGCTGTGTTTGGGGCAGCGCGGGCACGGGAGGCTGACGCGTCAGAGCACCGGCCGTCTGATCTGGTACGGCAAGCGCTCCGCTCTGACGGGGCCGGGGGAGCCGTGTCCCCAGCATCTGGTGTCTGGAGGCCTTATTGCCGACACAGGGAGCAGAAGAGGCGGCTGCCGAGGAGAGGCATAAGCAGGATTTAAAGGTGCGTCAAGGAGGCTTTTCGTGTAACTACCCTGGTTTGTTGTCCTCTTCCCTTTGTCCAGGGGAGTTTATCAAGGCTTTATATGAGTCAGATGAAAACTGTGAAGTGGATCCCAGCAAATGTTTGTCCAGTGAATTAACAGACCATCAGAGCAACCTGAAAATGTGTTGTGAGCTGGCCTTCTGCAAGATTATCAATTCGTACTGGTGAGGCATCTCCCCTCCCCTTCTCCCCCATTAGGTTATTTGCTTAGAGGGTGCCCGTTCCTCCTCTGAAGAGAACAACACAGCAGTGGTACAGGGAAATAGCACGGACCCAGCCGTCTTCTGAGACTGCCTGTGTTTCCTTTCCTCGCTACTTTCCTATGTGTGACCCCGTATCGCAGGTGGCATGTGTGCCCACATTGAGGGGCTCCAGTCCCATGCGCTGTACCTGAGAGAAGCTTCTGCTGAAATACTTTGCCAAGGGAACACTTGCTGAGCTGTGGCTCAGCAAAGTGAGAACAGCTGAGCTTGAACTTAGAGTAAAAAGCTGAAAGTTTTGATGTCTGTAGGAGACTTTCAGACCCTTAAGATCTGTAGAATTGAACAGGAAATCACAGGGAGGAAACGTTGGCAGAGAGATTTCTATTAATCTCTGTTTCCGAGCAGTAGTGAAAGAAGAAGGGCCTTTCTGCTTCGGGATTAAGTGCGTGGGAAGTATTGAGAGAGCTCAACAAGCGCGTTAAGTTACCGAGATGAGTTCAGCTTGGTTCAGTTTGGTTTTGGTATTCTAACGCCCTGTTTGCTCCAGGGTAGCGATGGATAAGTAGTTCTTAGCCTGCAAATCAGCGTGTCTGAAAATGGCTTCCCTTAACATATATGAACAAGGGATGCATTAAAGACTACTTAAGTATCGCCAGATTGAGTGGGGATCTAAGAATAGATGCCTAATGACATTTCCTAGCCTAGAGAGAGAAAAGGAAAAAGGG